TCCTCTACACCCGCCCTCAACAAAATGTGACACTTCTGCATGTCAACGCAAAAGCCTGTGCCCAACTCACCTCCTGCGACTTCTGAAGCACTGCGCTAACACCCTCTAGTATCTGCACGATGCAAGCACGCAATGCGCAAACAACCCCTACAAACAATAAATAAAGAACTCATCCCAACCCCACCCTTGCCCTCTCGTACTCGCCTCCCTCGCAATAGCCTTCACGCATCCTTTCCAAACCAAACACCCAACCAAACGTGAAACCCTTCAGTCTCCAAACGCCAAACAAGTGCGTCCACACGCAGCCGCCTCCACTCGAATCGCCCCAATAACCCTTCCATGCCCCGCACAACCCCTCATACACAACGCAAATGCGGCTATCACACCCACACTCCCTTCCAACGACGTGCGCTACAATATGCGCACTCACACAGACACCCACGCTCCTCCCACCTAACGACGCGCATCCACGCACACGCCCTTCCCGCACTCTGACAGGCAGGCAAAAGCCGTCAACGCCTCTTCCCTTCAAGCTCCCAACCTCAACGCTACACCATTCCACCGCCGCTCGTTCTCACTTGTATTCGTCCCCACCAACAACCAGTCGTTGCATTCAAACCCAGCAACTCGCCTCAACGCACTCTCCATTCTGCTTCTGTCCTGCCAATTTCACAATCCTCTACAACCCGCCCTCAAACAAAATGTGACACTTCTGCATGTCAACGCAACACGCTGTGCCCAACTCACCTCCTGCGACTTCTGAAGCACTGCGCTAACACCCTCTAGTATCTGCACGATGCAAGCACGCAATGCGCAAACAACCCCTACAAACGATAAATAAAGAACTCATCCCAACCCCACCCTTGCCCTCTCGTACTCGCCTCCCTCGCAATAGCCTTCACGCATCCTTTCCAAACCAAACACCCAACCAAACGTGAAACCCTTCAGTCTCCAAACGCCAAACAAGTGCATCCACACGCAGCCGCCTCCACTCGAATCGCCCCAATAACCCTTCCATGCCCCGCACAACCCCTCATACACAACGCAAATGCGGCTATCACACCCACACTCCCTTCCAACGACGTGCGCTAGAATATGAGCTTTCACACAGACACCCACGCTCCTCCCACCTAACGACGCGCATCCACGCACACGCCCTTCCCGCACTCTGACAGGCAGGCAAAAGCCGTCAACGCCTCTTCCCTTCAAGCTCCCAACCTCAACGCTACACCATTCCACCGCCACTCGTTCTCACTTGTATTCGTCCCCATCAACAACCAGTCGTTGCATTCAAACCCAGCAACTCGCCTCAACGCACTCTCCATTCTGCTTCTGTCCTGCCAATTTCACAATCCTCTACAACCCGCCCTCAAACAAAATGTGACACTTCTGCATGTCAACGCAACACGCTGTGCCCAACTCACTTCCTGCGTGTTGTGAAGCACTGCGCTAACACCCTCTAGTATCTGCACGATGCAAGCACGCAATGCGCAAACAACCCCTACAAACGATAAATAAAGAACTCATCCCAACCCCACCCTTGCCCTCTCGTACTCGCCTCCCTCGCAATAGCCTTCACGCATCCTTTCCAAACCAAACACCCAACCAAACGTGAAACCCTTCAGTCTCCAAACGCCAAACAAGTGCATCCACACGCAGCCGCCTCCACTCGAATCGCCCCAATAACCCTTCCATGCCCCGCACAACCCCTCATACACAACGCAAATGCGGCTATCACACCCACACTCCCTTCCAACGACGTGCGCTACAATATGCGCACTCACACAGACACCCACGCTCCTCCCACCTAACGACGCGCATCCACGCACACGCCCTTCCCGCACTCTGACAGGCAGGCAAAAGCCGTCAACGCCTCTTCCCTTCAAGCTCCCAACCTCAACGCTACACCATTCCACCGCCGCTCGTTCTCACTTGTATTCGTCCCCACCAACAACCAGTCGTTGCATTCAAACCCAGCAACTCGCCTCAACGCACTCTCCATTCTGCTTCTGTCCTGCCAATTTCACAATCCTCTACAACCCGCCCTCAAACAAAATGTGACACTTCTGCATGTCAACGCAACACGCTGTGCCCAACTCACCTCCTGCGACTTCTGAAGCACTGCGCTAACACCCTCTAGTATCTGCACGATGCAAGCACGCAATGCGCAAACAACCCCTACAAACAATAAATAAAGAACTCATCCCAACCCCACCCTTGCCCTCTCGTACTCGCCTCCCTCGCAATAGCCTTCACGCATCCTTTCCAAACCAAACACCCAACCAAACGTGAAACCCTTCAGTCTCCAAACGCCAAACAAGTGCATCCACACGCAGCCGCCTCCACTCGAATCGCCCCAATAACCCTTCCATGCCCCGCACAACCCCTCATACACAACGCAAATGCGGCTATCACACCCACACTCCCTTCCAACGACGTGCGCTACAATATGCGCACTCACACAGACACCCACGCTCCTCCCACCTAACGACGCGCATCCACGCACACGCCCTTCCCGCACTCTGACAGGCAGGCAAAAGCCGTCAACGCCTCTTCCCTTCAAGCTCCCAACCTCAACGCTACACCATTCCACCGCCACTCGTTCTCACTTGTATTCGTCCCCACCAACAACCAGTCGTTGCATTCAAACCCAGCAACTCGCCTCAACGCACTCTCCATTCTGCTTCTGTCCTGCCAATTTCACAATCCTCTACAACCCGCCCTCAAACAAAATGTGACACTTCTGCATGTCAACGCAACACGCTGTGCCCAACTCACCTCCTGCGACTTCTGAAGCACTGCGCTAACACCCTCTACTATCTGCACGATGCAAGCACGCAATGCGCAAACAACCCCTACAAACGATAAATAAAGAACTCATCCCAACCCCACCCTTGCCCTCTCGTACTCGCCTCCCTCGCAATAGCCTTCACGCATCCTTTCCAAACCAAACACCCAACCAAACGTGAAACCCTTCAGTCTCCAAACGCCAAACAAGTGCATCCACACGCAGCCGCCTCCACTCGAATCGCCCCAATAACCCTTCCATGCCCCGCACAACCCCTCATACACAACGCAAATGCGGCTATCACACCCACACTCCCTTCCAACGACGTGCGCTACAATATGCGCACTCACACAGACACCCACGCTCCTCCCACCTAACGACGCGCATCCACGCACACGCCCTTCCCGCACTCTGACAGGCAGGCAAAAGCCGTCAACGCCTCTTCCCTTCAAGCTCCCAACCTCAACGCTACACCATTCCACCGCCGCTCGTTCTCACTTGTATTCGTCCCCACCAACAACCAGTCGTTGCATTCAAACCCAGCAACTCGCCTCAACGCACTCTCCATTCTGCTTCTGTCCTGCCAATTTCACAATCCTCTACAACCCGCCCTCAAACAAAATGTGACACTTCTGCATGTCAACGCAAAAGCCTGTGCCCAACTCACCTCCTGCGACTTCTGAAGCACTGCGCTAACACCCTCTAGTATCTGCACGATGCAAGCACGCAATGCGCAAACAACCCCTACAAACACAAAATAAAGAACTCACCCCAACCCCACCCTTGCCCTCTCGTACTCGCCTCCCTCGCAATAGCCTTCACGCATCCTTTCCAAACCAAACACCCAACCAAACGTGAAACCCTTCAGTCTCCAAACGCCAAACAAGTGCATCCACACGCAGCCGCCTCCACTCGAATCGCCCCAATAACCCTTCCATGCCCCGCACAACCCCTCATACACAACGCAAATGCGGCTATCACACCCACACTCCCTTCCAACGACGTGCGCTACAATATGCGCACTCACACAGACACCCACGCTCCTCCCACCTAACGACGCGCATCCACGCACACGCCCTTCCCGCACTCTGACAGGCAGGCAAAAGCCGTCAACGCCTCTTCCCTTCAAGCTCCCAACCTGAACGCTACACCATTCCACCGCCGCTCGTTCTCACTTGTATTCGTCCCCACCAACAACCAGTCGTTGCATTCAAACCCAGCAACTCGCCTCAACGCACTCTCCATTCTGCTTCTGTCCTGCCAATTTCACAATCCTCTACAACCCGCCCTCAAACAAAATGTGACACTTCTGCATGTCAACGCAACACGCTGTGCCCAACTCACCTCCTGCGACTTCTGAAGCACTGCGCTAACACCCTCTAGTATCTGCACGATGCAAGCACGCAATGCGCAAACAACCCCTACAAACGATAAATAAAGAACTCATCCCAACCCCACCCTTGCCCTCTCGTACTCGCCTCCCTCGCAATAGCCTTCACGCATCCTTTCCAAACCAAACACCCAACCAAACGTGAAACCCTTCAGTCTCCAAACGCCAAACAAGTGCATCCACACGCAGCCGCCTCCACTCGAATCGCCCCAATAACCCTTCCATGCCCCGCACAACCCCTCATACACAACGCAAATGCGGCTATCACACCCACACTCCCTTCCAACGACGTGCGCTACAATATGCGCACTCACACAGACACCCACGCTCCTCCCACCTAACGACGCGCATCCACGCACACGCCCTTCCCGCACTCTGACAGGCAGGCAAAAGCCGTCAACGCCTCTTCCCTTCAAGCTCCCAACCTCAACGCTACACCATTCCACCGCCGCTCGTTCTCACTTGTATTCGTCCCCACCAACAACCAGTCGTTGCATTCAAACCCAGCAACTCGCCTCAACGCACTCTCCATTCTGCTTCTGTCCTGCCAATTTCACAATCCTCTACAACCCGCCCTCAAACAAAATGTGACACTTCTGCATGTCAACGCAAAAGCCTGTGCCCAACTCACCTCCTGCGACTTGTGAAGCACTGCGCTAACACCCTCTAGTATCTGCACGATGCAAGCACGCAATGCGCAAACAACCCCTACAAACACAAAATAAAGAACTCACCCCAACCCCACCCTTGCCCTCTCGTACTCGCCTCCCTCGCAATAGCCTTCACGCATCCTTTCCAAACCAAACACCCAACCAAACGTGAAACCCTTCAGTCTCCAAACGCCAAACAAGTGCATCCACACGCAGCCGCCTCCACTCGAATCGCCCCAATAACCCTTCCATGCCCCGCACAACCCCTCATACACAACGCAAATGCGGCTATCACACCCACACTCCCTTCCAACGACGTGCGCTACAATATGCGCACTCACACAGACACCCACGCTCCTCCCACCTAACGACGCGCATCCACGCACACGCCCTTCCCGCACTCTGACAGGCAGGCAAAAGCCGTCAACGCCTCTTCCCTTCAAGCTCCCAACCTCAACGCTACACCATTCCACCGCCGCTCGTTCTCACTTGTATTCGTCCCCACCAACAACCAGTCGTTGCATTCAAACCCAGCAACTCGCCTCAACGCACTCTCCATTCTGCTTCTGTCCTGCCAATTTCACAATCCTCTACAACCCGCCCTCAAACAAAATGTGACACTTCTGCATGTCAACGCAAAAGCCTGTGCCCAACTCACCTCCTGCGACTTCTGAAGCACTGCGCTAACACCCTCTAGTATCTGCACGATGCAAGCACGCAATGCGCAAACAACCCCTACAAACACAAAATAAAGAACTCACCCCAACCCCACCCTTGCCCTCTCGTACTCGCCTCCCTCGCAATAGCCTTCACGCATCCTTTCCAAACCAAACACCCAACCAAACGTGAAGCCCTTCAGTCTCCAAACGCCAAACAAGTGCATCCACACGCAGCCGCCTCCACTCGAATCGCCTCAATAACCCTTCCATGCCCCGCACAACCCCTCATACACAACGCAAATGCGGCTATCACACCCACACTCCCTTCCAACGACGTGCGCTACAATATGCGCACTCACACAGACACCCACGCTCTTCCCACCTAACGACGCGCATCCACGCACACGCCCTTCCCGCACTCTGACAGGCAGGCAAAAGCCGTCAACGCCTCTTCCCTTCAAGCTCCCAACCTCAACGCTACACCACTCCACCACCGCTCGTTCTCACTTGTATTCGTCCCCACCAACAACCAGTCGTTGCATTCAAACCCAGCAACTCGCCTCAACGCACTCTCCATTCTGCTTCTGTCCTGCCAATTTCACAATCCTCTACAACCCGCCCTCAAACAAAATGTGACACTTCTGCATGTCAACGCAACAGCCTGTGCCCATCTCACTTCCTGCGTGTTGTGAAGCACTGCGCTAACACCCTCTAGTATCTGCACGATGCAAGCACGCAATGCGCAAACAACCCCTACAAACACAAAATAAAGAACTCACCCCAACCCCACCCTTGCCCTCTCGTACTCGCCTCCCTCGCAATAGCCTTCACGCATCCTTTCCAAACCAAACACCCAACCAAACGTGAAGCCCTTCAGTCTCCAAACGCCAAACAAGTGCATCCACACGCAGCCGCCTCCACTCGAATCGCCCCAATAACCCTTCCATGCCCCGCACAACCCCTCATACACAACGCAAAT